GGTGGCCATTTACAAACTCACCAGGGGGAACCAGTGAGAACTGGGTGAGGCTCTGTTCCCCCAGGCACCACCTGGGGTTACTAGGAATAATGGCCACAAATTGTTAGAGAGAAAGTTCAGGCTAGACATCAGAAGACATTACTTTACTGTTAGGGCTGCCAGGCTCTGGAATGGACTCCCAGGGAAGGTGGTGGTCTCTCCTACATTGGGGATCTTCAAGAGGAGGCTGGACAGATATTTGGCTGGGGTGTTATGACCCTGCACTCGTTTCTGCCTGGGGCAGGGGGCTGGACCTGATGATCTGTTTAGGTCCCTTCTGACCCTGAGCACTATGAAACTATAAATGCACCGTCCCAAAGGAGTAGGATCTGTAATCCTTGTAAACCATCCTAAATACTACTTACCCCTTTAATGTTGGATTTGGGCTTAACTCTAATAGACTTAAATATAATAAGAACACAGTGGGTGCATTTACACATGCGCTTTAATGTGCAGGAGTCTATTCTACTGCACATTAAAGTGGCATGTAAAAAATGCCATGCTAATACACTAATGTGCAGTAGAATAGGCTACTGCACGTTGAGTGTCACTCAAAAAGCATGCACTTGCAGTACTGTGCATTAGCACAGCCTCATGCACATTTATTTAGTACCTCATATTGGAGATACTAAATATAATGTGCATTAGTAAAAGCGCATTAATGCATGTGTAGACGCGCCCAGCAGGTGTTTCTATATGAGATGCTTTACTGCAAATTAGACTAATCTAATGCACACTAAAGCATCATCATCTACACATGTACAGCAATTACTGCACATTAGATTAGTTTAATGTGCTGTTTGCTAGTACCAATAGATACAGGTGCTAGAAAAATGGTGCCTTAAACTAATGTGCATTAGTGCACATGTAGATGTTGACAATGGGTGCAAACTGTGCCCAGTCAGCTGCACCAGCAAGAGGCCAGTCTCCTGCTTGGTGCAGAGCCACATGGCTGGCAGTTTCTGCAGCCATGTGGTAGGGACAGCTCTTTCGCTATCTGCAACAGGCCTCTGGAGACCTTAGCCTGACACCTGGGGCCTGTGCCAGCTGCTGCTTGCCCCCGGGCACTGTGCCCCACCAGTACAGGCATGTTCCAGGTGCTGTAGCCGTGCAGACCTTGGTTCTGCCCCTGGGGCACATACCAGCACCTGATTGCCCCGTGGGCTCTGTGCCCCTTTGCTGTGGGTATGTTTTGGACCCTACAGCCCTGTGGACCCTAGCTGTGACACCCAGGACTCCTGATGGGCAGAGTCTGCCTCTTGGGCACCATGCCCCATGCCAGCAGGCATATGGCAGCTAACACTGGCACCCAGAGCCCCGGCCTGACTTCTCCCCTCTGCCCTGCCTCATGTAGGCCTTCCTGACAGTGAAGACAGCGGCCCAGGAGCCAAACTGAACTGAGCAGAAGACCATGGACCTTATAGCAATTTAGGGTGATGCAGAGGTCCAGTGGTAGCTTGACCAGGTCACAAGAACCAAGGCCCATATGCATGGTCATGGCTAAGCACATTCGGAAACACAGCCACCAGCACTCCAGCCAACAGTGCCACAAAAAGGTCAAGGCCCTGCAGACACAGTGGGTCCAAGTCAGGGACCATAACCATTGATCAAGGCCTGCTTGCAGGTCCATGCCCTTTCAGTGATAGCTAGACCAGATCCTGGGCCTGATGGACCCTGGCAAGACCCACCATGTGTTCTCTAGCGCAAACAGGCTGCCGGAGCCTGTGCCATGGCCCAGCAGGCACCAGGACTCAGCAGGAAAGGGCCCCTCGGAACTCTAGCACCAGGTCCTGGTACACTCCCCAGCCTCAGCCTCATCTGGCAGCTTGGGTAGCCCAGTCCATCACCTGCACCACGTCCCTGCTGCACCCACCCAGTAATCCCCACACAGAGAGATGGGCCAGGGGGATGGAAGGGATACCTCTGCCACCCATTCCTGCTCCAGTACACCCACCCACACCTGGGCTGTACAACTGGAGCCAAGGGCCCCAACTGCAGGGGAACGCTGGGTCCTCTCCTCCCCTCCTTTCCCTTTCCCTTTCCCTCCCTGCCCTGCCTAGCTGAATTCCCCACTACCTGAGGGAGTCTGCCCCACCCAACACAAAGGAAAGTGGGAGGAAGGTCAGAACTTAATTGAGCCACCAGCGCCCTCCAAGCTAGCCATCATATGCAGGGAAGCTCGTTGCTGGCAGCCTTTTTACCTAAAATTATATGTTTGAACTGCCAATAATATAGTTTCTCTACATGGTAGCCTCATTGGGACAGCAATATTGTTCTGGTTCCCAACAAATAATAATAAATATTAATTATCTATCTCATTATGTTAATTAATCAATCCCTTGTGCAATTTTACACTATTTTAATTGGCTTCATATTCTTATTTGTTGTGTATTTCTTGCAGTTGTTTAATCTTTTTATATTCATTTAGAAATATGATTTAGCTATTTAAAGCAAAACATGTCAAACAGTGGTAGGGATCATACTAACTAAGAAGTGAATCTAAAAGTGATATAATCTCATGGAACATGTTCTGCTACACTTCTAAAAAGACAACAGCCAGATCTAAAGCTGTTGATTTATTCTGTTTTACTGACTCAACACATATTTTATTATTGATGAAAGTGTGCAGTAGTTTTATAATGTTTATACATTGATTATGTTGACAACTTACAAACTAGAGCTAATTGAAACCAAGGTTGCCCATGAGTTACTTAAGGCAGGTTAATATGAAAACATTGAATAAACGTCTGATTTGTTTCTGTGTAGTTGGTACTGGCTTCTTTTCAGGTATGGGGCCTTATTTACAAAGCTATTCACTTTTGTAAAATCAAGATTTTTTTCTGGAAAATGGTGAATTATGTACTGCACAGTGCAGACACTGATCCTGCAGACACTTATGTGCTCAACTTTACTATGATGAGCCGCCCCATCATGGATTGCAACAAGACCATGAAAAATACTTATATTGAGCACACATTAGTGTGAGCAAGAAAGAAGCTTTACTTTTTTTCTAACAGGTTTTCTTTTAGGAATTGAGTATCAAAATGGTTCAGCTATATGTCCTAGGAAACTCTGCTCTTTGTTCAAGTTTTGCAATCAGATCTGTGCAGATTGATTGCACCACAGGTGCCTTAGATTTGCTTTATCCTGAATAAATCTTTTGGGCAGGGCGGATTTATACCTCTTCCTTGAGGAGGTACTTCTGAATTTACCTAAAGGCATCCTGATAACATGAGGATGAGATCTTTAGGCAGTGTTAGATTATGACATGCTGAGGCCCTAAACTATGTCCAGTTTAAGAGGCCCCGTATGACAAAAATAATCCAATGTATGTATATTTTTGTAATTAGAATGAAAATGTTCATATTTAGAGCATCATTTTCCCATATCTCCTTTATTTACCAACAGATTATTATAAAACTTAATATTAAGTCAGGTTTTTTTTCCTAATTTAAACGTCCTAATTTATTGTGAGGCCCTAAACTGTAGCTTAATTTGCTTAAACCTGAATTCAGCACTGTCCTTAGGACTATATATTTATTATACATCATATAATATATTGGCCACACTTATCATGGGCGATTAGTGCCTCTGGAGTCTTGGGGGGCACCAGTGGCTGATTGCCAATGAGTGGTGGGGGTGTCCAACATCAGCTGATCCAGACCGAAGGGGACCACAGTGGCCAATCAGCACCGGTGGCAAAACTGGAAGTGCCACCAGCACTTGTGCCAGTGCTACTGGCACTTCTCAGTGCCAATCTGGGGAGTGGCGGGGGGGACCAGCTGGCGCTTCACTCAACACCCCCACTCCCCAGCTGGCAAGGGCCCCCATGCCCTCCCTATGCATCACCTATGACACTTATTGTAGTGAAGTCTGAAATGTATTTAAAACCTGAAGTGAAAAGAGAAGTTAATGTTTTTCCACATGATGATGATTTCCCAAGCTGGGCAGGCGCAGCTTCTGGAAAGGCTCAAAAATCAGAAGGGGAGAACAAATTTGAACACCTAGTTTTAAGCCCAACTAACAATGACTTTTGGTTGTTAAGTCATGAGCTTGACGTACTGAGCTGAGAATCCTTCTGTCAGGATTGTCTTCTGGGAGGCAGGCAAGAAGAGCTCACTGCGCGGGGAAAACCTTCCCCTCTTACCTAAACCTTTCCCATGCCACCTGTTTTCAGGCAGCAGCCAGGGGAAACAAGCTTCTCAAGGGCCGATCCTGTAGCTATTTCTGCAGGAGGTGCCCGGCTTACACCAGCAGGCCCTCCACGCGGAAACGTGCAGCCACTGCGAGATGTAGGGGGCGCGCAGCCCCTCCATGCTCAGGACCCGCGGAGCTCAGGGGTAGGCGAAGGGCTCCCTTTACATCCGGCCCCCACGAGCCGGGCAGCCGCGCGCGTGCTGGAGGTGGAGTCCGGTGACGTGGAGCCGGCAGCTGGGCCCTCGGCTTCCCGCCTGCCCGCGCTCCCCACAGGCGGGCGCCTGGGCCATGCGGGGCTGTGGCGGCCTGTGCGGGGCCGCCTGGACCGTGCTGGC